GTTTCATATGAGTAACCTAGTAGCTAGTGATTAGTATCCCATCTCTCTGTGGTTCGACAACCCGAATACTCCGGGTATTATTTTTTTGCCCCAAATTACCGCAATCAAATTGGCGTCGTTGCCGGGGAGGTGGCGTTACGTACTGACATTCATATAAGTGGTTTTCTGAGCGATTCACTACCAGACTGTGCGATTTCCAGAAATAGCAACACAGGGGCGAGAGGAAGCAGATTTGCGCTCAAATGTCAGATCGGAGATTCCAATGCAAGATGGAGCAGATCGGTCAATGAGATCCGAATGAGATTTCAGAGGATCGTCGATTGAGTGTGCGAATTTCAGCGTTGGAATGAAGAATTTGGTCGATGCAGAGGAAAAAGTTCTCTCTCGTAGGGTGATTTGCGAGGGGACGACCATCATTGGAACCAGAGCATCTGGATTTTAGACGAGAGGCGGAATGACACTGGCATCGGCAAAGCGGGAGCAAGTCTTGGCGGAGGAAGAAGACTTCTTGACCAGCATCATGAACATCATGCTTACATGGACACCACCTGGGAAGGGATTGCCACACCTGAGTGCGACCCTATATATATATATATATATATATATAGAGTAAATTTCAATTTTGATCCTGTAATTATAGGAGTTTTGTTAATTGCAGTCCATGACTTTCAAAAGTGTTAATTTAGTACCTTGACTATGCAATTTTTATCAATTTTGATCACTTCGGCCAAATTACTGATTAAAACTGACCGGAAAATTTTAAATGATAAAATGATGAGGGTATTTTGGTATTTTCCTTCTCTTTTCTTTCTCCCCATTCCTTTGCCGAATTTGTTGTGTTTCTTAGCGAGAAAGGATCGGAGATAATTAATGGATTTTCACCGGCTCTTCTCGTAGTTGAAGACAAGGTGGATTGTTGTGTCACTTTAGGTTTTCGTTATTTTCTGGTTGCAATTCTTACACTATTGGGTTCTTGATTTAGGGTTGTTGGTAAGTTAATAAATGGAGAATAACGGTTAACTTGGAGAGGAAACCGCTGCGCCTGCAAGGCAAAGGGGAAGTGGAAGCAGGTTCATGTACGGGAGAACCGGCGGCGGCATCGGGAAAGCAACCACATAGCTACTGGTTTTCAAGCAAAATCAAATGGAACCATGGAACGTGGAATCAAGCAAAATCAAATTTGGTCCATAATAAGGTCGACCGCAATGAACATGGAATCAACCAAAATCATATTTGGTCCTAAGGTTTTGGTTGTTAATCTGCTCTGCTCTGCTATAATCCACCAAATTAAAAGATTTTGGCTTCGAGCTGTAGTATTGATTAGAAATCGTGTGGGCTCTGCCGGCGCAGGTTCGATGCCTTTTTACTCCGGCGTGTATACCAAAAATGAATAAAGAACATCCAATCCAACAGCTAAGCTCTCTCTCTCTCTCTCTCTATTCGTGACGGGAAAAACACTTAAAGAGAAGAAGACTCAATGGATAAGAAATAAAAGAGAAGGAAAATACCAAAATACCCTCATTTGTTTATCATTTAAAATTTTCCGGTGAGTTTTAACCGGCAATTTCGCCGGAGTGATCAAAATTGATAAAAATTACATAGTCAAGGTACTAAATTAAAACTTTTGAAAGTCGTGGACTGCAATTAACAAAACCTCTATAGTCATAGGACCAAAATTGAAATTTACTCTATATATATATATATATAATTTTATTTCTTATATGTCATGTTAGCTTACAAAGTAATTTTGTTTTTCAAGTTCAAACTCTTAGTTAATTATTTTTAAATCATATGTTGTTATATATACATGTTACAATTGCCTTATTTATTTATTTATTTTAATTTTGAAGTTATAAAACACATAAACGTATGTTAAGGTATTAAAGTACAAAAAAAAAAACATTATAATATAAAAGATAACCCCTAAACCAAACATGTTTATATTACATACCCCAGTTTTAACCAAGCACATGAATCTAACATTCACAGTAATCAAGCATTTCCTAAGATAATCTAACATTTCGTGAACCAAACGCTCCATCAGAGTAAAATTAAAAAGTCATGACCATTGTTTCAATTGTTTCTTATACACAGGAAATTAAACAAAGTCCTAATTTTCTTATTCTAATATATAGCTTTAATTTCACCATCAATGTTAATCGTTCACACACGGAAAAGTTTAAAATGGCTTAAAATTGGAAAAGATTCACAGCACATTTGGTTCACGGAATGAATTTTGAGGTAATAGGAATGTTATTCCATAAGGAATGGAATATGCAAGGAATGGAATAGGAATTGTATTCTATTGTTTGGTTCGGGAAAGGAATAGACTTTAGGAATTATATTACAGTGTTTGGTTGATTTAAGGAATAGAAATGAAATATGTTTTAAAAGACATAAATACTCCTATAAAAATATGTGATGGTGGCGATGGTGGTGGTGGTGGCGGCGGTGGTGGTGGTAGTGGTGGTGGCGGCGGTGGTAGTGGTGGTGGTGGCGATGGTGGTGGCGGTGGTGGTGATGGTGGTGGTGGTGGTAGTGGTGCTGGGGTGGTAGTGGTGCTGGGGTGGTAGTGGTGGTGGTGGCGGTGGCAGTGGTGAGGGTGACGGTGGTGGTGGTGACGGTGACGGTTGTGGCAGTGGTGGTGGGGGCGACGACGGTTGTGGCAGTGGTGGTGGCGACGGCGGCGGCGATGGTGGTGGCTGTGGTGGTGATGGTGGCGGTGGCGGTAGTTGTGCTGGGGTGGTAGTGGTGGTGGTGGCGGTGACAGTGGTGGGGGCGGTGACGGTTGTGGCGACTGAGCAAGAAAATTGGGAAATAAAGCAAAACCATTATTTTCTTACACAGAATCTGCCTTCATGTTCTGCGAGTATATAACCTTTATTTTTATAGAGGTCAAGCGGTGCAATCGCATCTTCCTTACTTTTAACAATGTCAGATAGTTTAGAATCCAGTTGTAACCTATCCACAAGTTGAGCAGCTGCATTCTTGGGAAAGATCCCCTGCTTGTGCCTAAGACTCATACCAGAAAAACTACCATCAGAGAGTTGGTATCCAAGCTCCAAGAAATAAAATCTTCAATGTAGTTGAGGCAAACTATGCATATGATTACCCTTGGGCAAGTGCAGTTGAGTTTAAATGAAAAATAACTTACTTACCTCATATGCTGGCTTCAAACATAAAGCCGGAAAGACAGGAAAAAGTGGCTCCTCATTGTTCACCTCCTCAACAGAAGGAACTAAGTGTTGGAATTTTTAGCTAAAAATAGCTTTTTGAGTGATTATTTTGTGGTACAGATATATGTGGGGTCCACTTCCGATTTGGGTTGGGTCAAAGTGGATTCGGGTTCTTCGTAGTGAGACAAAGAATTTGATATAATGTACGCTCAAAATGGGTAATATGTGAATGAGAAATTGATTCTCAAAGTGAACCTATTTGAGAGATGTCGACAACTTAAACCTATTGTTTAGTGGCTAATTAAAATTAGCACTAATCTTGGTGCTAATTACTTAGCATTCACGAAGGAATGCTTTTAATTTAGCATTGGAAAAGGTTAAGTTGCAACATAGTAATTAAACTTTTGAAAGCTTGATTAGTGAATTGGGAAAATGAACTTTCGTGCTATGCTTTGTGCATGGACAAAAGTTGTGCATGAATTGAGCATAAGCTTTGGATTCCAAAGTAGCTCATTTCATGTTGTGGATTCGGTGTGCACGAATCAAATGTTATATGCATTGATTCGTGCTGCACCGTTTCGGTGCTTGCGGACCACTCGGGTGTGGTTTCCGGTCCCAATTCGTTAAACCTTCGGGTTTGTACGGACTTCTCAGCTCGGTCACTCAGATATTTTGAAACGGGTCGTTATGGTTGGTACGAATTAATCGTGTATTAAGTTCATGACCGTTGATATTATTTTGATAATAAGTATGACCGTTTCAAACGTTTTAATTCAATTTTTAAATTGGATTAATGGTGGTGTATGTGCCATGAATATGTTATTTATTCATATTTCCCCTACAAATAGCTATGGTGGTGACAGAATGTTAACACACAACATTCAAGATTGAAACTCTCAAAACCTTTGCATTTTCTCTCTACTCTCATCTCATGTTTTGAAAAGAAATTCTGCCAACATCTTCCATAAAACATCGGAGTGCTCAACTTGTGTTCTAGTTCGCCGGACTTTGGGTTGGAGTGCTCGAACGCCAAAGTTGTAGTCCGTTTTATCCTGGGAGACTGACGCCACAACGATCCTAGCACCCTCGGGAGGTGGCGAATCGGTTTTAAGGAGAGTGTGTGTACACACGACTCGGGCTTCATCTGCTTCTTCTTGTTTCTTCGCGTTGGGTTAAACCTCAGGTTAGAAACCCGTCTCTTGTTTATTCTTGTTCTTGGTTTCGGACCAAGTGGTAGGATTAATCTCGGATAGATTAAATCCTTGTACTAGTTTCGTACTAGTTGTGGCGGAATTAATTTCGTGGAAATTAAGTCCCGTATACTAATTTCGTACTAGTTGTTGTGGGATTATTTTGATAAAATAAATCCCTATTTGGTAATATATATATACGCGGCATATATATGTAATTTTGGCTTCGTACCAAAATTGGTTGGAATTAATTTTTCTATAAATTAAATTCCATTTTTTGAGACAAATATATATTTTATATATATTTTTGTGTATCGATTTATTCACCATTTCCAACACTAAGCCACTAAGCAGTTATTCACTAAAAACTAAACCTGTAAGACCACATAAAAGTACTAATAAGCGATCCTCCTTGAGAGAACTTAACCGTATTGAAAGCAACAAATCAAGGGAACACTTTAACAATATAAACGGAACCACCCACACCACCGTAAAATCAGTCTCCTTGAGAGAACTTAACCGTATTGAAAGCAACAAATCAAGGGAACACTTTAACAATATAAACGGAACCACCCACACCACCGTAAAATCAGTTGAAAGTCAATACAAAACTACAATGTCATTTGCTAGATTTGTATGCAGGAATTTTTCTGCAGCATGTTACTAATGGACGATACAATATCAAACACATTAAAAGTAAAAGAAAAAAGATTTTAATTGCACAGTAAGGATTTAAAGTCCTTAGCTGAATGGACTGATATGATTTCAGATTACAGAACATGTGAATCCAAGTTATCACGCCAAAAGAAGCAAGAGCAAGAGGCGCAGAAGAACTTGTGTAGTTGGCAAGTGCTATTTCGAGCATAATTCCAATGCCCTAGCTCACCATACCCTGTGCTTCACCCTTAGCAATTACTTGCCATTAGAGAAACCTTAGAAAAAGCAAGTTCACACAACTACCTTATATCTCAGAACTACAAGAAATGTGGAAAATAATCAACTGAAATAGAATCTTTAGAAAGGTATTGTAGACCAGATAAATTGCTTTAAAAATCAAAAGATAGTAACCAAGCAGAGGATTCACCTTAGCAAAATTTCTTTGAGCAGCAAAGCCAGCATAAAAACAGTTCCTCGTAGCAGCCTATCACAAGAAAGATATCAGAGTGCATTATTGAACAAAACTTGCACCAGGCATTCATTTTCCCCCATTCAACAAACAGTACCAGAATGCAGAATCATCATCAACATTACCATAAAGTACTATACTCAAGTTTGTGCACCATAATTTTCAAAAACAGAACTCCCATTTCAAGTTTTATGGAAAGCGGGACTGCGGGAGAACATTAGAAGTCTTGAGCTTTATACTGTTATGCATTCAATAAATCAGATAATATGTCAGTTTAATATATGAATGAGTTACTATTTACTAATAAATCAGTTTGATAACTGCTTACTATATACAAGCACCATATGTAACCAAACTTACTCGGCAGTACAATGTCTCATTTCTGTCATGAAGTCGGTTTAAGATCCTCCATTTCGCAAGTCCTTTACCAGTCAAATAACCTATAGTCTTGGCCAATCCATCCCTGTTCACTGCAGCACTAAGGGGATCAAGACTGCGTTTTATAACTTCTTCAGGAGTGATCATTACCCGTTTACACAATGCATCTTCTAGAGCCACAGGGTCACACCTAAATGAAGAAAGAATTGGAGACATACCAATTCTGGAATGTAGAAATTATATGGTGTTGAACAAGCTCACAGCCAAAAAAATAGCAGCAATGTTCCTATTTTATCTAGGGTATAATGATGCAAAATGAGCCACAGAGAGCAAGACTAAAGCTGTACAAGGACACACTACACTTGCAAGGGAAGAGAACTAAATCCAGAAAACAATTTAGGCCCTCAACAAACCTTCTCAAATATCGTTTTTATAGTTTAATCAACACAGAGAATATGATGGAACACATTAAATAGAAGAATCAAGCTTGAGAAATTACTTTTCTTGCTTACCAGCATGATGCCTAACACCAGTAGCATCATACATTACCTTAACAAAAGAATATTGTTGGAATTCAACAAATTGGATCAAAGTTTTCACGCGTGGTAGATCAATAAAAGAGGTTAAAAATTGAATAAGATGTTATCTAAAAGGTCATGTATAATTTCAATGTATGCAATAATAGTGTAAACCTTTAACAAAACCAAGCATAGAGGCAAGGAATCATTGATGTTTTACTTAGCAATGAAAACAATTGTAAAAATTTACTACAATTCAGGAGCAAAAAAGATGCAAGGAAGCATACAAGGAAGAAAATATATATAGCTTAGAAAGCAGATACAATACATGCCAAAACCACTGCAATAACAAGTGCTGATCCAACAGCTCCATCTTGAAATCCAATTACTGCTGCTGAATGTGAAGATAGCATTCAACCTGAGCTAAGAATCTTTCCAGAATCCCATCTCTTCTCCTTAAACCTGCTAACTCAAACTGCACACATTCAAATTACGATCAAACAAAGAAGAAATTAAAGGAAAAATGCTTTATAATAGCATTAACAGGATTCAGCAAGGTTTGTTCCTTGGCTCTTTCTCTTGCAACTAAACACTAATTACACGGCAATGGTGAAGGTTAGAGGCAAAAAGATAAGGCAAGGGCTTGCCAGGCGGTAAAAACCTTGAGAAACTGGGCGAGAGCGCAAGAGAGGAGAGCGGTGACTTACCTGAACAACCGGCGGCGACCTTTGAAGCAGAACAGCCGGCGGCGACCTTTGAAGCAGAACAGCCGGCGGCGATCTTTGAAGAAGAACGATGGCGACCTTTGAGGAAGAAAGACCGGCGCCCTTTGAGGCAACGAATGGCGAGCGGCGGAGGGGGAAGACGATGGAGGGCGGCGGCAGGACGGGAAGACGACGGTGTTTGTTGGATGGAGAAGGCAGTGGCTGTGGGGGGAAGACGAGGGCTGGGTGATTTTATTCCAAAAAAACCCTAAAAATCGATCCGCTTTGAGGTCTGCGTCCGAAGTGATATAACTTTGGACGCCGATTCTTTTTCTAAAAAAGGCGCGCGTTAATAGGCGTCCAAAGTGATATAACTTTGGACGCCATTATTTTATTATTATTATTATAATTATTATTATTAAAAATTAATTATATAGTGGCATTTTAATTACGAAAACGCCATCGTCTCCCACATTACGCGTTCAAAGTTGAAACTTTGGACGCGAATTATTCGATTTTATTGATATTTTTTGTACTAGTGGTCCATCTTCATATGTAGTTGATCAAAATAAAGTTGTCAACTTGATCTAAAATGTTTGGCAATAGTCTTTTCACCTTTTGTCAGATGATTTGGATATTTTACCCGTTGCCGTCTCTTGAAAATTGTAGCCTCCAAAATTTGAATAAGTTCGGCGCGGCAAGCTTGACATTTCTTGTCTTTCATAAATGTTCTGACATATCAAGTTGATCAAATAATTCATCTACTGATTTTTGCTTGGTATGAAAATATACCTCCGTGAATCAGCCGTCTTCGAGCGTCTCCGGTTCCATCGAAAATATTGTTGTTCAGATGAAAATATATCAGTTATTTTCTCCTTCATAATCCATGTAGAATGATATATTGGAACCTCTGTAAAAACTTCATAGTTTGTGCATGGTGAGATGTTCTGTTTCGATTTTGTGCTTGGTCCACCTTACTTGGTGTGTTTCTTCATTTGTGCATGACTTTTATGAGACTAGTGATTCAACTTGGTTAGTCTCCATTTTTACTTAGTCTCCACCTTGCATAGTCTCCAACTTCGTTAGTCTCCCAAACTAGCTAATCTTCATCTTAGTTAGTCTCCCAAGCTAGCTAGTCTCCTTCTTGGGTTAGTCTTCCAAGACCTTGCATAGTCTCCAACTTGGTTAGTCTCCCAAGCTAGCTAGTCTTCATCTTGGTTAGTCTCCCAAGCTAGCTAGTCTCCTAGCTAGTCTCCTTCTTGGGTTAGTCTCCCATACGGTGGTACCAGTCTTCATCTTGGTTAGTCTCCCAAGCTAGTTAGTCTCCCATACGGTGTTCCTTAGTCTCCCATACGGTGGTACCTAGTCTCCCAAGTAAGAAAAAAATATGCTTCACATAAGATTATTCAAACTTACAATCATTTGGAAGAGCTTGCACGCGTATCATCCAACTCTTCTAGCATGGTTCTTGGTGATTTATCCGCATCATAATTGTGTTAAGCTATAATCCCGCTTAACTTCTTCAAATAAAATATGATCTTCAAGACTTGTACGTGTGTTGCATGATATGGGTGCACCATACTCTGTAGACTCAAAACTGACTCAAATAAAATAAAATTGGGGACTACTTGATTTTTCAAAAATACATTCGGCTCATCAAAATTTACAATTTATTCCTAACAATATCCATCATCAATCCCCCACTCTCTGAGTTGTGAGAAGTCAACAACGAGATAGAGTAAATGCCCGGCACAATCGAATCTGCTCTGGGCTCCATGCTTGAATGAATGCTTCATAGTTAACATGAACGAAAATATTTTGCTTATTAAAACAGAGATTTTTGCACTTTTAGTCCCACGACTATAGTGGCACTGGCAGAATTGATCCATGACTTTTGAACCTTGCAATTTTAGTCCACGACTATTGATTTTTTTGCAAAAATGGTCATTCTGGCCACTTTTCCGTCAAAATTTCACCGGAAAAAAAAATTCTCTATTTTTATCCGGGTTAAAATTGACATTTTACTTATCTAAAAAAATTAAAAGAAAATAATTGATATTTGACTACATACAATATTACTGGGCTACATACTACTGCCCCAGGCGACAGAGTACATGTACCACTCCAATGCTGCTGTCGGATAACCCAACTAGCCCGGGGAACGCCACAGCCGCTCCGCCGCTTACTGACAACCCTGCCTGCTCCAGGAACTCCGCCGTCTGGGGCAGTAGTATGTAGCCTAGTAATATTGTATGTAGTCAAATATTAATTTTTTTCTTTTAATTTTTTGAGATAAGTAAAATGTCAATTTTAACCCGGCTAAAAATGGAGAATTTTTTTTTTTTCGGTGAAATTTTGACGGAAAAGTGGCCGGAAGGACCATTGTTGCAAAAAAATTAATAGTCGTGGACTAAAATTGCAAGGTTCAAAAGTCGTGGATTAATTCTGCCAGTGCCACTATAGTCGTGGGACTAAAAGTGCAAAAAACTCTATTAAAACACCTTTTAAGCTTTCAGCCTTGTGATTTAATCTCTGATCTGAGTCCCCTCCGTTCAATAGCAGGCTGTCCGGACGACTCGGGATCGCTTATTAGATTTTTGCTCGCATAATTTTGTTTTATTTTTTTGTTCTTTTGTTTTTGTTTTTTTTTTTGTTCGTTTGTCGTGCATAGCCATTAGGTGGAAGTACTTATGCCTTAGACCCGTAGCTCTTCCGTTCGGCGATAGGTGAGGTTGGACCTAGTATCGCCCCTAGGGTATAACGGTTCCAGATCTAAGTCATTCGACTTTGGACCCAAAAGTTCTTCTGTTCAGCGATAGGCGAGGTCGAGCCTCGTATTGCCCCTAGCGTATAGCGATTTTAGGTCGTCGAATTCATTCGACTTTGGACCCAAAAGCTCTTCCATTCGACGATAGGCGAGGTCGGACCTCGTATCGCCCCTAGAGTTTAGGGGTTTCCGATTGAATTCTTTCGACTTTGGACCCAAAAGCTCTTCCGTTGGGTAGTTAGCAAGGTCAGACCCTGTACAGAGCCTTAGGGAATAGCGTTTTCTTAATCAAGCCGCGGGCTTGGAAAAGAAAAGGCCCTTTCGTCAGGTAGCTAGCGGGACCAGATCCCGTGTCGACCCTTATGGAATATTTAGCTTTTTCTTAACCAACTTGCGGGCTTGGCCAACAAAACGCCCTTCCGTCGGGTAGCTTGCGAGTACGAATCCTGTGCTGGCCCTTAGGGGATGCATTAAGCGAGCAATATATATGATTTGAATTGGCACGTGGACCATGGCTTGGACGACGCAGTTCGCAATGATCCGGGGATCGTTGGTCCGAAGTACTTGGTCCCAACCCCTCTTCCCCATCGGATGGGTAAAAGTTGCCGAACTGAAACTAATTTTAAAATTAAAAAAATACTTGAATATAATAATGGATCATTGGACTGGCGTACATGTAATAAGTCAATAACAGGCTCTTCCATTAGGTAGTGAGTAGGGATGGGCCTCGTATCACTGCTAAGGAATGCCAAGGTCAGGTACGGCGCGCATGACCGCGACCATAGATTGATTATTTTGCCTAGCGCTAGGAGAGGTCAGACCTCAGAACGCCAGTAGATAGGGAGAACATATGCCATTGCTTGGGGCCGAACCCCTGGAAAAATAACTAAAATAAAATGCTTTGAGTTTCCAAAATGGATCTTCGGGCACCCCCTAATTTGAGTGACAACTCCATGATTGTTTTTTGAGGTGGGCTTCCTCAACATCCAATGTCTCACTCTTGATAACTAGAAAAATATATATTACCAGCTCCGAATCTCCAATATAATAAATAATATCATTGGAGTTCCCCACATGACATAGCAGTCCATCAATTAACATAATTGTATTATTCAACAAACTTAGATAACATTATATATACATACCCATATGTTGGAAATGCATGCATGCATACGTATATGTTCCATCTTTATCTCCTCTGTTTCTGGCATGAAAAACATTCCTTCACGATCAATTTATGGAGCATCAAATGAGCTATGAATTACGAGTAGCTCACAATGAATGACTTGTGAATGGACAAATGACATCATTAGATCAATTGTGTGGCCCTTGGTATATCAGAACCTCCCAGATTGACAAACTAAGGCTTGAATGTTGTTTGTCGCGTTGGAAAATTTGCTTGTATTCTGTAATACATTTGAGATACAATAAAATTATAGAAGAAAATGAGGGAACAAAAACTGGATCGTTTGATATCTTCAGCCGTGTAATCACTT